TTTCCAGTCTTCTGTTGCCAAGGATGGCAAGGATGGACATATGACTGAAAGTTTTAATGCTATGCCTTCAAAACTCATGACGAAAAAAGAAAATAATATGATCGCTATAATAGTGCTCCGTGATGAAATTTGTTTGACATCCTCCTTAACTCTAACTTAACTCTACACGAAGATTTTTTATATTGGTAAAGGCATCGCCATGAAATCAATGACTTCAGCATAGAATTGACCTAAAACAGCAATATCATCATGCCAGCACTTCCTTCCATCTAATGATCTGATCCTAAATGCCCCCCTCCCCTCCCCATTTTTTTTCTTTCGAAATGAAGGCTTGTCTCTAATCAATGAATGCCCAGCAAAACAAGAAAAATGAACGGAGGATGAAAAGCGAAAGAAGAGGGTGGGTAAGAAAGTTGAACTGCTGTGTCACTGAATCCCTTTTAGCACATGCCTACCCGGACTCAGTTCGGAAGCCAATATTTAGCGTCTAAAACAGTACCCAGTACCCAGAAAACTGCTTAACTAGCAGTTTGGTTATTCGCCAAATTTCCCTAGAGCAACTTGGTCAATCGAAGACCCGGTCAGTTTTCGGGAAAATCCACTTTTGGGCTTAAAGCAACCAAATCTGGCCCTAAAATGGTGAATCGGCTGAAAAAATCGGCAAAAGACGAATTTTAGTCATTTTGATTTTAAGACGTCCACTAACCACCTTTTAGAATTCATCAATCAAGAGACCCTCTCTTGGAAGACATCTTTTTCATAACTCGACAGGACCTTTTTATGTATTGAGTAAAGCCACTAATACACTATAAGTAATGACTTCAGCACAAAATTAACTTAAAACAGGCCTAGGTCGAGGCGTTTTTAGGGACCAGTTTATTTTTAGACACATTTTGGGGCACTTTAACTTTTCCCCCGAAATAGAGTCTCCACCATGTCTATGAGCGCATTCGAAGTATAAGATATCAAAGGGGGAGGGGGGGGGGAGGTGTCTCCAAGGAAATCTCTGGTACAGTCCGCTTGCCAGTATGACTTTACGTCTCGCGTCAGTGACTTTCAAAATGGCGAGCAAAGTGTTCATCGAAAAGACGAATAAAAATTTCTATTTTATCACGGAAATACCGTTCCGATTTCTTGGATTTGGAGATTTCAAGGTTTCTATTGTCATAGAAAACTAGATTTAATTACGTTTTTAGAATGAAATCTCCAGTGGTGTAATGAATTTTGAAGATTCCTTTCTACCGTCGAGCAAATTTTACGGGCAATCATACCGACCGATCACACTTTTGACGGTCAGTGCACAGCAAGGTTGAGGAGTTTAGTCACAGCAATAGGAGGTTCATCAAAGGATGTATCATGCTTTACATTGTGCGTATTTTCAGCTCTTCAGAGCTAGTGAAACCCCGTATCATTCCTCTCAAAGTTCGCTTAGCGTTGAAAGCGGAAGATAAGTGACAGGTATTTGTGCCGGAGAGACTGTGAGCACTGAATCTTGTTGCTTTACCGCATTTTAATACTGTATCGGGCATACACCTGTAATCCTGTACTAAATCCCAAAAACGAATAAAAGGTTTCGTTTAATTATTTTTTGGGGGCAAACCCAGTGGAGATTTTAGGGTAATAACATTGATGATTAAGACGTGGAAGTGTAACTTTCGCCAGTGGGTCACTGGTGGGTGTTGGGTGTAAATTAGTACAGTTTGTGGTGTACTGTGTTTGTCATGATGTCAACTAACACTGAAAAAAATTCAGCTGTTTCAGAGGAGGGACATGTCTTGACAGCTCATGGTTTTTATCTGGTCGTAAGCTTGGCAAGTATGCAGATCAAGAGCTTTTGAAATCCCTTTTCCACAATAAAACTCCGGACTTAAGCTTAAAATATATATTGATCCAAGTGCATGACCAGCAGGGTCTGCGGTAAGAATAAAGAAAAAAAGGTCACAAGGAAATACAGTATGTTGCCCAGTATCCGGACGGTACCAGTATCCGGACACTTGAAACAAAAACTCAGTTTTTGAGGCGCCCTTTTCAGTTCTCGGTAAACGAAGTATTTCGAATGGAAGCTGAACATTTCAGCTTTAAGATGAAAGTTTTGGCGATTTGAAAGCTTCCGAAACAGTCGAGGAAGATGCCGTTCTGTTCAGGTGAGTATACTTTTCATGGCTAATATTTACGCTGTTTGCTGCGCAGTAAAATTAGTGCTGCAAAGAAAAGGGAGGGTAATGTGTGATATTTTCAAAGAAACTGTTTTATTTTTAAAGTGAAGATGCTTAAGGAAGTCAGGTTTTCAGAAAGTTTATTTATTCTTCTTGAAACTCGATTTTTTTGGAATAACGGAGGCCAGAAACATTCACTAAGTTTTGATGTCATGTGCCCAGTATCCGGACAGTTTTTTCTTTGCTGTACAGAATCGATGAATTAGCTGTGTACATTATCCGGATAAGATTTATTTCTTATCAGTAACTATAATTAAAGCTTAGGATATATGATATAGTCGTAAAATGTAATTCTACTCAACTCCGTATGGACCTTTTCTTCACTCTTTCAGAGGCGACTTGATTTCGTGTGGACGGCTTGTTTCGCGTGACTGCGTTTTCTATATATAGCTGAAAGCGTCTGCGTTGAACCTGGAATTCTCATACTTTCCCCAGTTGTGACTGCTAGAATGGGGTTGCAACGGTCTGAAAAATGTCACAAAGGGATTGAGAGATGTGAAAGAAGGAGGAATTAGTGCTAGAAAAGCAGGCTTATTGTGGGGACTGAGCATGAAGAAATCAACACTGCAGGTCAGACTAAATAGGAGAGTGACCTTTGACCGTCGCGTTGATGTCCCTTTCCCAAGCTTTTTTTTAAATAAAAAATGAAGAAAGAAAGTCGTTTGCAGATTGGCTAATTGAGCTTGCAAACTGCGGCTTCGGCATGTCCACGGATGCCTTCCTTAAATCAGTGAAAAAGTTCCTAGACAAGGAAGTAAGAATTACACCATTTTTAAAACAGCCGCTCGCTTTCCCCACCATACCCCAGTCATTTGTTATGTTTTATTTCACGATGCTGGGTTATATTTTTGGAATCGATTGCCAGACTACTTTGCAAGTGCAAGAGAAGCTTATAAGTCGCTTGCCTGTCGAAATTTATGTACAGTTACGTTGTTATTGTTGTGTCCGGATACTGGGCCAGCTGTCCGGATACTGGGCAACATAGGAAACAAAGGCAAAAAAGTTAAGCTGTCTTTCGTCAAATTAAGGACTAGATAGATTTTCTCTGGGCCAAATTTCAAAGCTCTTACGATTAACAAAGGAAAGTTATTGCAATCTTAAACTGAAGTGTCCGGATACTGGGCAACATACTGTATAGTGTTAAATAAAAAAAGACCAAACAGGGAAAAGAAAACGGTACGAAGAAACAGAAAGCAGCGTCGCCGGGAGTCGAACCCGGTTTATCTGCAAGTGTAAGAAACTCCTTGACCACTGCACCACAGTGACACACATGATTTGAAAAATCAATTTTGTCTTATCAAAACAATTTTTCTCTGTCATAGACGCTGTTTAAAGCTAGTGGAGCTGTATTTATCATGAATTCAAATATACATTTGAGGAAAACTAGCTTAAGCGCGTCCCGGGAAGCGCGTATTTCAAAGCTATTTCGCTTTATTTCCGGTTCAACGGGCCGACTCGATGTAGATAATCGATCGAACTAGTTTTACTGACTTTGGTGGAGAATTAGGAGATCAACAGGGGCGCGCACTCGAAAGGAATGATATGAAGTTAGGCCCATTTAATTAGCAAAAGAATAGATGAAATATAAACATGCATGATCTGTGAATGGAACCTGCTATTCTAGAGACTAGACCTTGCCTATCTTAGAGAAAAAAAAGATTTAAGTTTTGATGACCTTGCCGGTCCCGTGAAATAGATGGCGATCCCGCAAAACGGCTCGCGAAACAAATTAACAAAATTTTACAATCACGGACACAAAATATGAAAACGGTTTACACAAGCAGATTATAGCAAAATCAAAGCTCACACGCACTCGATCAAATAAGAGATATATAGCGATATTTGTTAGCTTCTTAGCTTTTCCTCAACCTCGCTCGTCCAAATAACTGTCGCATCCCTTGCTAATTTGCACAAGCGACCCGAGGTTCTTGCCCGTTACTATGTGACGTCATACTGGCAGGCGGAGTGGGTCAAGAGACTTAGGTGGAAAACGATAGAGTTACCTCCCCCCCCCCCCGATATCAAAAAGGAAAACTTAACGTTATTACAAGGCAAAAAATATCGTTTTTAAGTCTGTAAGTTTTGCTGACTGGTTTGTGGAATTTAAAAGATATTCAAAATTCTCACCAAAACTGTTCTAAAAATGGCACGAGTGCATGGAAGTTGCTCGCTACGGGTTGTGGGCTCCTGCTTAAAATAGTAATAACCTCCCGAAGTAAGCCTTTAAAGATGACGATTTAAAATGTTTAGAACCTGACTTTGTTGTATTAAAAAAAGTCTTTCCATACTAAGAGCAAAAGTTGAAAACTGCATTAGCAGACCTACCATAGTCGTCGGGTCCCGGGTGCGATCGTGAAAAAGAGTCTGTTCAGTCGACCTGTTTTGTATGCTACACTGCTGGATTACATTTTGCACCTGGCTCAAATCCTCGTCAGAGTCTCTCAGGTTAAAAATGCGTAGTTCCGCAACGGCGTTTGTGGTAAAGTCGATCGGAGCAACACGTGTTGTGGTCAGCTGTGCAATTTCCATGTTATTTCAAAATTCTTTATCACATATGTATTATTATTTAGGCTATCTGAAGACTTGTTTATGTTTTTTCTAGGCTATTACTTTTACCTTATTAATCTGCAAAGAATTAAAAGTAATAAAAGTATTAACGAAATTCCCTTTATCCCTGTAATATACACGTAGTGTCAGGCAAGACCATTTAATTTATTTGGTACTTCTTTGTATTAAACATTTTTAAAACAGGTTTCAAGACTGTTGCCGTCCTTCTGTTACCGAATGGCCTCTAAAGTTTACTTGGAAGGACAGCTTAACTACTTCCGTGTTTGTCACATAGCCACTGATATATTGCCCCCAGCTTTACGATTACTGTTCAAGCAGGAATGGGACAGTCGTTACAAGGCAACACTTGGAGAATGGAAGGACACGCCTCAAAATGGCCTGGACTTTAAAAACGGTGAGTCTCCAGCTAAGCAAAAAAGAAATGCCCGACTGTTAGCCACAATGGTAAATGGAGACAGGGCGCAGTGGGACTGTACTATGCTATTTTATGCCATCCTGTATTCTGACTCTATTGCGGGCCATGGACTAAGTCCACTGATTAGGACAAATGTTGATTATCTCAGAAAGTTTCGCAATGAAGACTACGCTCACATGACAGAAGGTCAGTTCTCAAATGCAGACTTCAAAATCACCGTTGCAAAAGTGGAGACAGCATTTCGAACTCTTGGCCTGTCTACTGTAGAAATCCAAACAGTAAGTAAGCAGAAAAGTTTTGCCACCGATGAATTGCAAAATGTGAAGATATGTAATCAGAATCTTACCCAAGACCTTCAGACGAAAGATGCGGAACTTCAAGACAAAGCTACTGAATTACAGGAGAAAACAACAGAACTTTTGAGGAAAAATGTGGAACTCCGGGAAGAAAAAGACAAGTTACAAGAAAAGCATGCTGAACTTCGAGAGAAGGAAGCAGAACTTCAAGTGAACAAAGACAGGCTAAAATTTACTGAAGAACAACGCAAGGTGTTTGAAGAGCAACTACTGCGCGAAGCAGAGCCATTTTGCGTCCTTCCACCCAGACCTCCCCATATGATCGCAAGTCGCGATTACCACGTTGATAAAATAACGCAAAAGCTGTTAAACTTAAGGAAGGCTAACGAGAACACTTTAAGTTATTGTTATATTTCAGGCAATCCTGGGAGTGGCAAATCTCAGCTGGCTGGACTAGTTGCTGAGAAATACTACAAAGACGCCAGTAAAGACACAACTGCTCCGTCATTTGTAATGACTTTAAGTGCTGAAAACCCAGAAGCGCTTTTAACATCATACCTGTCACTGGCAAGAAAAATGCAGTGTCCCGAGTGTACTATAAATACCACCGAAAACTCCAAGGATCTAAATAATGAAAGGAAAATAGCTATTATCAAAGATTTAATTGCGACAAAAATTCACCTTTACTCATCTTGGCTCTTAGTGATTGACAATGTCACAAATCTTCCTTGGATAAGTCAGTTTCTTCCTGAGCGTGGAAATGAGCAGTGGGGCAAAGGCCAGCTGTTAATCACCACGCAGGATTGCTCCTGTATCTCTCCAGATAATTCCTTCTTATCCCAAATCTCCGTAAGCAAAGGCATGGAGCCTGCTGAAGCTGTTTGCCTTCTAACCGAGCTCTCTGGAGTCACTGATAATGACATGGGAGAAAACGTAGCCCAAGCATTGGATTACCAGCCACTTGCACTAGCCAGCGCAGGAGTATACGTGAGAAATGTGCGAAATACCAATCCAAACTTTGGCTGGGCGGGGTACTTAGACAAACTAGAGAAAGGCAAACGTGAACTCACTGAAAATGAACTCGCCAAAGTAAACAGTATCTACCCAAACTCTATGACTGTAGCGACTAAGATAGCTCTTGAAACGGTAATGGACTCTAATGAAATAATGAAGCATGCTTTCACTTTTCTTGCTTTTTGTGCACCAGAGCCATTGAGGTTAGACGTGTTAACCACTTACGTTGGAAATGCTGTTGGAGAGTTGGATGAAGAGAACATACGCATTCAGATTCAAGGGTCCTCTCTGTTGCTAATCGAAAAGGAGGATGTTGTCAACATTCATTTACACATGGTGGTACACGATATTGTCAAGCATTTAGTTAAAGACCAAATGGAGGCTAATGAACATGCCCGCGTTGCTTGTGTCGCAATGGGGTCATTCAGTCAGTACATTCACGAAGCAATACCAGAGATCCTGCAAAGTGAAGATTCTGTGTGTAGAAGCAGACATATTGTTCCACACTTAAAAACTCTAGCTGAAGGAATTCCAAACATTATCTCTACTAAAGAGAATTTCGGTCTCATCAAAAACACTATTCTAAATAAACACAATTCTATTTATAACTTTGAGATGCTTGGTCAAGTTTGCTGCTTACATAGCGAGTACGAGTCGGCAATGATTTTTTTCAGTGTAGCTCGAAAACTCATCGAAGACAAAACGATAGGGACAGGGCCCGACGATGTTGAGCAGTTCGCACGTATTTACCATAACATGGGTCTCTTACATAGGCAATTGGGTGACTATCAACGGGCCAAGGAGTATTCTGAACGTGCCCTGTCGATCCAACTGAACAAGCTTGGACCCGACCATGTTGTTGTCGCGCGAACGTACCATAACATGGGTCTCCTACATAGCGACTTGGGTGACTATCATCAGGCCAAGGAGTATTATGAACGTGCCTTGTCCATACGACTGAATAAGCTTGGACCCGACCATGTTGATGTCGCGGCTACGTACCAGAACATGGGTAACCTACATCGGGACTTGGGTGACCGTCCTCAGGCCAAGGAGTATTATGAACGTGCCCTATCCATACAACTGATTAAGCTTGTACCCGACCATGTTGACGTCGCGCGAACGTACCATAACATGGGTACTTTACATCGCGACTTGGGTGACCATCATCTGGCCAAGGAGTATTATGAACGTGCCCTGTCGATCCAACTGAATAAGCTTGGACCCGACCATGTTGCTGTCGCGCGAACGTACCATAACATGGGTAAGCTACAACAGGACTTGGGTTACAATCATCAGGCCAAGGAGTATTATGAACGTGCCTTGTCCATACGACTGGATAAGCTTGGACCCGACCATGTTGCTGTCGCGGCTACGTATCATAACATGGGTCTTCTACATAGCGACTTGGGTGACCATCATCAGGCCAAGGAGTATTATGAACGTGCCCTGTCGATCCAACTGAATAAGCTTGGACCCGACCATGTTGCTGTCGCGCGAACGTACCATAACATGGGTACCTTACATCGCGACTTGGGTGACCATCATCAGGCCAAGGAGTATTATGAACGTGCCTTGTCCATACGACTGAATAAGCTTGGACCCGACCACGTTGCTGTCGCGGCTACGTACCATAACATGGGTCTCCTATATAGCGACTTGGGTGACCATCATCAGGCCAAGGAGTATTATGAACGTGTCCTGTCCATACATCTGAATAAGCTTGGACCCGACTATGTTGACGTCCCGCGAACGTACCATAACATGGGTACCTTACATCGCGACTTGGGTGACTACCATCAGCCCAAGGATTATTATGAACGTGTCCTGTCCATACGACGGAAAATTATAAGGGGCCGACTATTTGAATTTTGAGGGAGGGGTTGATGGGTAGGGCTTTCCACAAGTTACCCGAGATTTTCCAGGTAATTGCAAGAGGCGTCGCAAAGATGACTCTTCATTATTTTCAAATAATGTTAATGATAACCTATTGCGTCGTTGTTTACATTAAACGACTCAAACAACTGCAGTTTTTGTAGAATTTTAGCATACGTGGTATAGAATGGTAAATTCGAGTCGTGACTTTGCAAGACTGTCCGCTTAATACGGACTCTGGATAATGCGGGCAACGGACACTTATTTCTTGCCCTATCAACAGATTCACATAGAAAGTCAACCTCCCTTATGCGGACACTTCATTATCCTTCATTATCAATTGTATGTTGTAATAAACCTTTCCTTCTTGAGGGTTAAATATCTTTCAGTTGACAGCATGTCAATGTTCCAAGCGCTACAGTACACCAGATAGGATAATCAAAAACGTCTCTGGAATTTGAATATCTGCATCGAAAAAATCAATGCGAAATGCTGATTGGCGGAGATGACATAAGTAATGACGTCATTAACCTTGGCAAGTGTTTTTCAATGTTTGTTTACATTCACGCTCGTTTCCTTTTCGCGGTGATTGGCCGACAGTGACAGCGCAGTCGACGGAGAGCCACAGAGGAATAAGCCTCCCACATAGGCGTTTTTAGGGAAGCTCGTATTTCGTCCCTCCCCACAAACGCCTTCTCAACCGAGAACAGCATTCCTTTCCCAAGCTTAGCTAATCACCTTGTACTTTCCAAATTCTGGAAAGTTGATCTTGACCGCAGGATATCCCGATAATTACTCGATCCGCATGAAACACTGGGAAAGCTTTATGACCTCTAATAAATATTAGATTGTAAGCGGCAAAAGTAAGATTTAGTCAGATTTTAGAATACTCTGTGCACTGCATAACCTTAGCGAAGGAAAGAAAAGAAGGGAAGAAAAGAAGGAAAAAGGTAACGCTGGGGTCACGTTTTTACACTACTACGAAGTTATGAGTCGTGTTTAGCCTTTCAACACTTTCTTTCAAAACTGTTGATTGGTCACTTACCACGTGAATAAAACAATGGGAAAGGAATGTTGTTCTCGGTTGAGCAGGCGTTGTGGGGAGGGACGAAAGACGAGCTCCACTAAAATCGCCTGCGTGGGAGGCTACAGAGGAACTGGAGATGGAATTCAAATTCCTGAGGCGTAGTTGCAAGCTCTCCTTCGCTCCTACATTACTGTTTCCTTTTCCTGCCCTGCTGCCAGAGCACGCGGATAGCTTGCTCGCAGGCTACTTCTTTCCCCGTCGTCATGGCGGATACGACTACCCAGATAAGTGAAATTTTTGAGATGATTTGTATACAATATAAGTTCATGAAATATTTCTTGTACTGCAGAAATGAACACGCGCACTTTAAATGAATTCGCCATCTCTCATGTCAAAGCAACATGTCCCGTTTAGGGCGCTGACGCAATGCTTCAAGCTGATTGGCTACTTTCTATTACCTTTTGTATTTTCTTGGATTTGATTGGCTTATACAAGCTGTCCTATATTTCTTAAATTGGACCGTTCGCCTTTTTCAATAGGAAAGTCTTATTTAAAACTATCCAAATTAATAATCCTTAATTGGTCAGTTTTTAAAAATTCAAGGATAATAGCTATGCTGACAATATCGGATTAACTACCAGGTCCTGGTTGTTCAAACGTTGGATTAAGCGCTATCTACCGGCTAAATCACTATCCAGCGGATAAGAATTAGAGAAACCAATTGCGTTTTTCGGTGGATAAAGATTTATCCAGTGGATAGCGTTATTCACCTTTTGAACAACTGGGACCAGCTGTATAATTAAAATGCTATAAATGAGTAAGGCAGTTTTTGTTCTCAAGGACACCGGAGTCTACACAATGCGTGCTAAAAGGCCTAGGGACTAAGTATAGTCGAACCTGTATATAACGGCCACCCTCGGGATTTGAGGAACTGGCCGCTAAATACAGGATCACTAAAAATACTCACAAGGCGTGGTTTAAAGTCAAGTTTAATGGCGTATAATACAAAAACACTTCATGCAAGGAAACAATAGGACAATCAACACTCTTTCAAGCGATCAATGCTTTAAACAAAGTTCAGTGCCATCAAACAACGACAGCAACTCAGGCAAATTAAGGCATGGGTTGAAAGGCTAAAAAGACCCCCCACAGAGAATGCAAAGATCTTCTTTAATGACGCAGAAGGATCCAAATAAAGGGTTCCACAAAGATATGATAAGACATATCTCACTAAAATAGTTTTGGAAAATTCATCCCAAGCATCACGTGACATCTCTTGGACCATGACGTCACAAAACCTGTTTTCTCAAACGGGGCAAGGTTGTTAAACATTAGCCTAAAAATACTTGTCATCAAATTGTCAGCCAAACTGTTTGGATTGTCAATTAGCCTTGCAAGGTGGATTAAAGCATTTTTATTAAGAGTTAATAAGCTCCACGCTTGCTCCATACATGGAGGGCTGTTTCATATTAGTATTCACCAAATCAGGGGATGGCAGTTTTCACGCGTTCTGATTGGCTCCCGTAACTCGGAATATCCTTGTATTGTTAAGGCCACCGAGCTAAAACTGTTTTTTTCCAAGTTTCATGACGACTGATCAAAACAATCCGTTTCAAATGCCACTTCGCCGAATTATGCAAATTATGAGGTGACTCATCATGCCTTAACATACCTGAGAATGTTTTTATTTTAAGAAATATAAAGTTTTACAATACTTTATGTCCTGCAAATAGCGACGATGCCAATCTAGGCAGGACAAGAGTTTAAATAACTTGTAAAAGCACTGTGCAATAAATTTAATGACACTGCATCTGAAAAGCGCAATACTAAACGGCCAAGTATCAGCTTACAGTAGCTTTGTACATGTTATTTCGATCTTTATAGCGATGATGGATCGCATTTTAAACACAATAAAATATCTCAAAAGAGGACAGATGGCTTAGTTTCCGTTCAATGGTGGCCGCTTAATACAGGCAAAAATATCAAAGAAAGACAAACATAAAACTGCTAGGTGGCCGCCTCATACTGGTAACAAATACAGAGTTTGCATGAGCGAAAAATAGGGAGTTTGAAAAATGGCTGCTTAATTAACGGTGGCCGCTTAATACAGGGCCGTTTTGTACAGGTTCGACTATTTCACCTACTCCTCTTTTATATAAGTCATATAAGGATATTGAGGCTGAATTTTGGCGAAGGCTCAAGAATATGTAAAGCGATACCCATGGCTGAGATTTTGTTAAAAAAGAAATTTGCTTGTTGATGGACAGTAAAAAATATAAAATGAAATTCTATGTCTCTAAAATGGGTTTTCTTTTGTATGTGAAACTTGTGGTGAATCGTTAGCCTCTCGTTCAAACAACACTTCAACAAAACGAGAGAAAACTATTATTGCACATAGCACCGAAAAAAGCCGTGTATTTTACCATCAACGGCCTAAGACTGCCCATGGATACTAGTCCACTCGTTTTACTCTCCATGGGCTGCCATGCAGACCTGGAGTTTTAAAATAGGTGTTGACAAACAAGCTGAGATCAGAGCAACAAGTAATGGAAAGGAAGATCGTACACATAAATCTGAGGCAAAAGATACGACACAAGGTCTACACCAGCGTACGTAAGAAAAAGTTTAGTTACGTATATCGGAACGAGAACGAGTCGAATACTTGTGATAACCACGATAAAAGCGTCCGAAAGAGGAAAGAATAGCCGGGAAAGAAGAGGGGGATCGAGGAATTTTCCTTAAGGGAAGGGGGGAGGGTGGATCCAACTTGTGCACACCTTTGATACATCAAATACTTTCTCCTCTTTCTCGCCACTTCATTAGTCTCTACTGCGTAGTCCCTTGCTTAGATGATACGCACCGCCAACATGTGACGTTCTACTTGTAAAGGACACATCTCTGAAACTTTCGTCTGTTCTGTTTTTTGTCCGATACGCTGATGGTGGTTCGGATCCCTCCGACCCTACCCCTGGAGAGTTATTGAAATGTAACAAAGCAGAAGACATAGAATTTAAAGATTGAAGAGGGTAAAAGAATATAAGCTTGGAGAAGAGAGGTTTACAATTTGTACATGGAGGAGATACGGTGACTACACGAATAGCTTGCGTAGCTGGCGGCATTGCTACGCGCGGGGTTCTTTCTTGGCGGAGGAGCCGCGGGGAAAAATTTCAATTTGACTTGCTCTCAAACTTCTCGCGGCTCCGGCACTCCGCCGCCAAAAAACAGCAGCACTTCCCCGCCAGCTGCGCAGGCTATTATATGGATTATACCAGATTGGAATAGCTGAACAATGGTAAGAGAGAGAATTATATAAAGTTTTTAGATATCCGAAGGTAGATATCGCCGTGATTTACAGAAAAATTCTACAACTTTAGACTATCGTGGGAAGCAGAGACGTAGAGTTTCCAAGACAGGCTTAAATGGATGATGACTCCAAGAAATATGCCTTCTTCACACGCGCTAAAGGAGAATTATTTATTACGATGTTTAAGGGATAATTTAATCTGTTTGCCCTGCGGATAAAGTGATAAATAAGAATAATGAACGTAGACTTTTCACTTTGGGCAGTGGGTTCATTTTCATTAAAACAAGAAAGAGCTCTTTCTATGTATCATACACAAAGGGGATTAATGAGAAGTGACTTGAAGAGTCACCTCCAGTATTCCTCCTATTCTCTAGTATTCTCCTTTTCCTTTAGTATATCAATGATATACTAGAGGAAAAGGAGAAGGGCCAAAGAAGAGAGCCTTGGGAAAACCCACACACAGCATTGTTAAATGAAGAGACATGATGATAAACAATACCATACTGTTCTCTATGAGCTAAATAACTGGTAAGCCAAGTTAACGGAATACCTCGGATACCATAGAAATTCATTTTATTAATTACACCGGAACCTCTATTCAGGGGACGCCCTCGGGACCAAGGCAAGTGTCCCTTGAATGGAGGTTGGGCTGGGGCTTGTTAAAAAAAA